TCTCTCCCTCTCTCTCGGTTAGGCTCGGCGGGCTTACGGGATTTGGCCGAATGAAGCGCGCATAAGGGAGAAAGATACCTTCATAGCCAGCGAGCTCTCGTGGTTACTTCCGCTCAGAATGTCATAACTTCCAAACCCGACAAGAAGGGAACGTCGGAGATGGAGCGAAGTCGGGTGGAGGCTAGGGCAAGGTAAGGTTTCTCTCCTCTCTCTCTTTCTCTCTCTCTCTCCCTATTTCTCTCTGAGATCGGGATCGAGCTCGACGGGAAGAGGTGCGCTCGCCTGGGTGAGGTCGGAGGCTGTGAGGGATTTGGCTTCGGGATCGTGTGGGAGAGGAAAGGGGTTTCGGTCGGAAGGGAAGAGGAGAGGAAGAGCTCGGGCTGAGGGAGAGAGGAGCTCGTGGTCGTGGGATCTGTGAATGGGAGAGAGCCGAGCGTTCGGCTTCGTTTTATAGCCGCTAATGGGGCAGCGATCGAGAACTCGTCGCAAGATTTACGGGCAGGATTTACGGGATTTGATAGAATCGGCGCCGATTTCAGCTGGATTTACGGCAGAATACGTGGATCTGCCGAGCATAAGGTATGTACGCCGGATTTCTATTTTGCTTTCATCTCCTTTTGTTTCCTTTGGGTATAACATGAGGGTCAACATTTGTCAACTCCAACGTTGCTTTATGCCCTTGCTCAATGCAAATAGAGAAATGCTTCTTTCTTCCTTCATGACATGCCTGATATGCAAATACTAAAAATTTTGTGCAACATTTATAACTTTATGAGTCTATCCTGCGGCCACAACAGTTGTTGCCAGTACACCATACTCCTTTAGTAAGTATTCCTCAGCATCTTTAGTCATCTAATATTGGTAAGGGCAACACTAAGCACTGCACTGCATAACTATAGTGCAAGTATTGATCACCAAAATTAAATTGACATATGTAAAGTGGCACTACCTCACAGAGTATCTCATCAATGTAGTCCTTGGAAATTGCAAACATCAACCGACATTGATGATCAATCTCAATCTTAGATCCCTCCTAAATCCAACCAAAAGAAAAAGGGCACGGGTGAAGTACAGTGCTCAAACCTAACTTCTACACCAGAGGGACAAAATAAGATTCTTTTTGTTGTCAGCATCGATGATAGTGTTCATCAAATGTTGCTTAATCTACCTAGATCCTCAAAGTACACAATTCCTCTCATGTGTCAATCTTGAAGAACCCTGAAATTATATCATTCAAGATAGTTCACCTTGTCTACAAGGCAAAGCACAATGATGCCCATGGCAGTAATAGTTCGTACAAGAGGCTAAGCATGGCTCAGCATACCTATGTAGACTCACCTAAACTATTGCCTAGTCAGGAAATACTCCAAATGATCATCTGAGAAAATCAAGGAAACTACTGCCAAAAGACTTTAAGAAGCCAACTAAAAAAGGCTAGGTTGATTAGGCTCCCTGCATAGGCAAAATAGTGCCATAACCTGACTGAAATCCCAATAAAAACTTGGAACGTTTGGCCCAATTGTAACAAAAACCAAGACTATCAACTCCAAAATTTCGACAATGTAGTAGTTGGAATAGGGCACGTCGCACTAAAATACAATATCAACTAAGATTCAACCACATGCAAAGAAACATGTGTCTACATACAACAGAAGATACCACTGGCAATGCCAATAGCATGGTGCTTTTCTCTGAAGCATAACTCATATGAGACTTATCAAGGCAACAAAATGTATGGCAGATAGAATATCAAATGTACAACCATTATGTACATTGAAAGAGGATCTTATAAAGATTATTAAACACCATCTCAAAAACAAGTATAGCTCAGATCCTTACTTGGAAGGAAGTGAGCTCTTCTATGAAAAAGAGGTTACACTATATGATATGTAAGAAGAAAATGTAATCTCTTAGGAGTAAATTACGATAAAGATTAATCCAAAGCATGACGATCTTTAATCCCAAAACAAGAAAAATCTTGTATTCTTTACATTGCAGTAGGTCTCATGCCATTTGATTCCAAGTTCCAACTGTAATAAAAAAAAAACTTTTTTTTCACCCTGTTAAATATTTCTCTACTTCACTCCGTCTTGAATATTCAAATTCACAATTCTAATCCCTAAAAATCTAATTTTGCTTATCACTAAAAACGTCAATATGACGAGGACATCCGACCTTGGAGAGTTTACTAGAGACGGAGCCGACGATCTACAGCCACGATTGCGCCGCTTTACTTTTGAGTCATTAGTTTTATTAGATTTATTATTATGATTGTATTGAGTTATTATTGCATATTTTCGATTTATACTCTCATTTGAAGGAGTAGTCCTATGTAAGCCCAAGGGGCATGTCTGTCTTATGTTTCCTTCATTGTATGTGGGCTATTTAAAAACTCATCCTCATCTTTTGAGGGATGATGAATATTTTTACAAAAAAAATTTGCACTTGTGTTTGGAAGAGTTGAGAGAGTTCTCTTGAGAGTGAAACCCTCGGTGAGGACAAGTAGTACCCATCAGCCGCAAGAAGTGTCCAGGCTCGTGCTTCTTCGTTTTTATCAACCTCCTCCCCCTCCTCCCTCCTAGCCACCGACCTCCCCTTCCTCCCTCCTAGCCGCCGGCCTCCCCTTCCTCCCTCCTAGTCGCTGACCTCAAGTCCACTACTCTCCCAACCGCCGGCCCCAAGGCCTTTTCCCCTCCACCTAGCAGCTAGTTCAAAACCCTAACCCTATCCCTAGACGTCGGCCACAACTCCTCTTCCATTGCCTCCAAATTTCAAATTACAACATTAATGCTTTCCATATTGGATGCAAACCACAATAGGAAAGTATTAAAATCTGAGTTTCTTCATTTGAAATTTGAAATTTCTTTCCTAAACTACTATGATTTATTTTAGGAAAGTTTCTTAAATCAAGTCTATTTGAATTTTAAATAGGATTTGATTTAAAACAATCTTTCCTAATTCAAAATTCTAAATAAGGTAAGCTTTAAATCCCCACCTAAAAGCCCTAATCCCCCATAGCATGCCCCCCCTTCTTCTCTCTCTCTCTCTCTCTCTTCCCCTTCGAGACCCTAATCAACTTTCTCGTCAAAGGAGCGCCCTTCCATTTCCATTATATATTTGAAATTCAAATTTCAAAACTTCCCTTTCCCTCCCAATCAAATCTGGAATTAAACTTCAAATTTTGGAAGTTAACTCCCCTCCCTAGTCTTGACCGACCACCTAACCTATCCCTCCACCTCTTGTCCTTGGCTTAATATGTCACCTAAAGAAGAAGCAACACCTTCCCCTCTCCAGCACTTTGAGAAGTCTTCAATCCCATGAATGGCGGATACAGAACTTGATCACGGTATTGTTTACAACGATCAAGGGCAAGTTGACATCCTCAAGTCTCCGTTCTTCAACATCAACTTGGAGGTCGACCGTACCGTTGAAGAATATGTCGAAAGGATTTTCTTCTCCCTCGCCGCCGCTATCGACGTACAACTTTCTCCCATTCAGTGGCGAATCATTTAGGAAGCTTGATAAAGGTAAACCTCTCCCCCAAGTATTTGTTTTTCTAAGTTTTCCTGTGGCATCATAAAGGTTGTGCAATCTATCTCCGCGCTTAGCCAAATCTCAAGAGTGTGAGTGAGAGGATCCAATTAGTGCATAATCTAAATGTTAATTTTGGGATTTCCTTTGAACTCTCCCATGTTATGCTAATCTTGATTGAAACTGATTATTCATGATTTTAACTCTTATCGTGTAATTTGGCCTAAGCTTAAATCACTTCTCTTGTTTTCAAGATTTGTTTAAATCGCTTAAAGTAAACTTAATTATTGTTGCTCTACTTTAAAAAAGGCGCTTAATTTCAACATTACATAATTACCTACGCACTTAATTCTACATCACAACACCATCAACTCTTATCTCTTTCCCCTTAAGATGTGGTCAACCCCTTGATTCTATGCAAGGAAGTTTTAACTTTGCAACCATCTTTATAATATCTCAAAAAATATTCTCTAACCCTTCTATAAGGTTCTTTAGGCATTCTACAAGATTCAAGAAGCTTGTTCAAAAGGGTTCTAAATGCTTATCCTAAATTTTTATTTTGTCAGGGCCAATTTTGATATTGGAGCTTATTAGATTAGAGGTGGAGCATATATGGTTCAATAATTTGGAGAAGCTCATGATTTTTCAAAATTATCATGGCTAAACAAGGGAAGGCAGCAACAACAATTACCATCAAAGTGTTACTCATGGCAAAGGATGATGGAGGGGAGATCTGGCATCACTGAATTATAAAAGCGGAGATGCTATTGCTTTCACTTTCCTCCCTAACCCGCCAAACCATGGCAACACAAGCCCATGAGAGGAGGACACAATTGTCCTAGGTTGGGCCAATCAGGCTCAAGTCAATCAAAGTCGTATCTAGATCCTTTTGCACCCCAAACAACTAGTTCAAGCATGTACGATTTTGGCTCTACCAGTCAAACTTTGCCTAGAGGTTGATCGAATCAATATGACCTCATCGGTGCATCGTTTCAAGAAATTTTACTTAAATCATACTGCAGTTCAATATGACCTCATCGGTGCATCGTTTCAAGAAACAACTAGTTCAAGCATGTACGATTTTGGCTCTACCAGTCAAACTTTGCCTAGAGGTTGATCGAATCAATATGACCGCATCGGTGCATCGTTTCAAGAAATTTTACTTAAATCATACTGCAGTTCAATATTCTTTACGTGTTTCAAAATTCATGCTTCGTGGAAAAACTGTTCTTAATTAAATAAGGATTTGCATGATCCCAACATTATCAATAAATGTATTTCTTCCAAACATAATCAGTTTTTGCTCTTTCTTCCGCTATTCACATATATTTATCCACGTCAATCAGTATTCTCCATCCTGCAACAAATCTAGACTGCCCCATCCATCATCCAATACTCTTAACTATATAAAATGAGTTCAATGAAATGAAATCAAAGTTAAAAAAAAAAATCAAACCCTGAAACCAAACCTCAGGATTAAACAGGCTGCTCAGTGATGAATACCCGCCCCGGCAGACCAAATCCAAATGGAAATCGGAAACCTTATGCCAAGGCCTGGCATACATATATTGGAAGCTCTCCCTGCATCATTATTTCGAATACTACAAATAAGAATGAAATCGACGGAAGAATATGAATTAAACCCTAACATTTCATAAAACATCCAATCAGCGCGAAATAGACTTCGCCGTCACTACCTCGCTGTCCACCGTGAAAGGCGACAGGAGTCATTGTGATTGTAATGGGCGTGAATTTTCCCCTCCATCGCCGCCGTGATTCCGACTATCGTTCTCGTAGCCGGGATCTTGCCGATCCCTTGGACGACCATAACCCTCCTCACCTCTTTCTCTCTCTCTCGCGCCCGCGCGCGTATTTCACCGGGTAAATTAAGAATTATGATATAGTAACCTAATTTTAATATTAACTGACTCACTTAATTAGCTACTACATTACGATAAACTAATTAAGATTTAAATAAATAATTATGAGTATATAAATCAGGCTTTCTATATTTTTGTCAAACACTTAACAATTTTCTGTTCACTTTATTGCAAAATAAGAATATACAGAGCATTCAAAATAAAAAAATAAAAAATAATAATAATAATCAAATAATAATAATCAAAATAATGGCATCCATGGATAAACTTAATATTAATTTTTTTTATTTATGAATATATTTTATATTTATCTCACATATGAATAAATCTATAAAATATAAATTAAGATGATGTAGATATGATTTTTTTTCTTTTAAATATTTAATATAATAAATAAAAGAATTTATTTTCAAAATATGATTGTGATGCAAAATACCGCATGAATAATTATTATAGCTGCATTATCAGACAAAATCAAATGATCAGGATGAGAGCAAGGGTCATTAAGGGCCACATACGAGATCAAGATAAGGACAAAAAAATATTCATCCAATAAAAAATTTTGAAGAAGTACAAATTTAAAAATTTATTTATTTTTATTTTTAAATTTTATTCATATTTAAATTTAAAATTCAAAGATTAATTTTTAATATTTTAATTTTAAATTTTGAATATTTTTCTCCCTATAAGAGGTTATTATTTTAGATAGGGTTAAGAGATATTCATCCAACATTAAAATTTGAATAAGTTTATATTAGAAAAATTCATTCTCTTATAGTTTTAAATTGTATGTTTAATATAAATTTAAAATTCAAATATTATATTTTGATATTTAGATTTTAAATTTTGAATCTTTTCCTTCGTATAAGTATTTTATTATCTTTGGGTTGCTTTTTTTTTTTTTTTTCCTACATTTGGATATCTTGACTTTATCTTCGTGTAGCCTCCACTAAACAACCATTAAGCCTATTGGTTTTCCTCCGAAAACTCTATATCACAACCTCTAATACTTTCTTATAACATTTAGGAGGATCTATGCCCTAAATCCCCCTCCATATTATATCCTTAAAGGTAAAATCCTAAGTGGTGGTCCTAGGGCTAATTTGTACTAAGCCCATTGCCAAGTATCTTTCCTTAGCCACCTAAAGATCTTCCAGGCATTCTTAGCCACCTACCACATCAATTAGAATGATTGGATCCGCATCTCCAAGTCTAGATTAACATTGGTATCAGAGATAAAGTCTAAAATTTAACAATTTCACTATTAGTAAATTTTAGAGCTTTGATCTTAACACTTGTGATAGGCAAATCTTTCTTGATTTCTAATTATGGATGTGGTTACTTTTTTCTTTTATTTTAATAATAACAATAAGAAAATTAATAATCATTATATATTTGGTGGCATATCTATGACATTATGGGTTAACTCCAAATAGCTACCTCTACCAACAATGCTTAACATATTCCTACATGAGAACTTATACTTTCAATCCTATTCTGAGTGAAAATCATTTGTATAGGAGTGTTCACATACAAATCAACAATTAATCATCATGAGTAACAACTCATATATAAGAGCTAATTTTATATTATTTTAAACCCTAAACTTATTAGTTATTGAAGGATACTTCGCTTATAAAAAGTTTTATGCAAGTTTGGCTGAAATTTTCAATGCTAAGGCCAAAAAATTTATTGATGCATATAGCATTGTCTAACATATATAAAGCATATCAAATAGTTCACTTTTTTTCCCCCTCAAAAAAAAGGATACTTTTTTAGCAATTTGTAAACTTTATTCTTGAATAACATGTCACCAAATTAGTCTATATGAATTAAGTTGAATTTATAACTAAAATGATATAATCCATAAATACTGGGCTTCATCAAAGTTTCATGACAACCCAAGAACTTATTCAAGAAGCTCAACCCAATTGACTTAATATGAGTTAGATAGATGAGCTAAGGATGCATATGAATATTTTTGTTTAGATATTATAAATGGATGAGCTCTTTGAGTGGCATAGGATGGAAAACTATCAAATAGTCACTTTTGCTAAGATAAAGCTAACTTGTTATGCAAAACTATAATAGATAAAGATCTTAATCAAATAATAGAGATTACAAGGACCAATCTCAATTTTGATAAAAATGAAGCGAATTTTTCAATAAATTTAAAATTGTATGCATAATTTAAAATTTATTATTTTCTTGATATGGAAGATGGGGGATGTTTACTTCACAATTGGTCAAAATTAGAGTGGTGCCACTCTGCCCTCTTTACTTTGAAAATTTTCTTCTTTTTTATTTATTCTCTTGGGACTTGACATATTACTTCAAATATTTGCTCGGAACAATGAAATTCAGTTTAAAGAGATTGAAATATTTAGGATTTTTTATGCTTGGTAGCCAAATCCCTCTTAGTTCTTAATTTTCATTTGAGACGGTTTTTTTAATGCTTCTTAAAGCAATTTTTTAATATTAAAATTAAAATTTGTCTACAAGAAAATTACTTTAAAAAGTACTTAAAAAAAGTAATCCCAAACGAAGCCTTAGATGGGTGCTTAAAGCTCGATCTTTTTGAATTCCTTTTGGTGAAAGACCTAATTATCCCACGAATCTCGTCAAGGTCTCTCTTCCAACTTCTCTGACTCAACATTTCTATCTTCTTTCAATAGGTTTTCACTAGCACCTACAACAATAAAAGAAAAAAAAAAACCCCAAGTTCATACAACTGGTTAGCAAAAATTAGAGCAACATTGATCTAATTTGACTCTCCTCCTTCCACCACGCTCCAAATGTTTTAGATCCCAACTAAAAACTTCTTATTAGATATTTTGATGCTTCTTCAACCCCCAAAGCCACCTTCAACACATCCTCCAATTACAAATTAAAGCCACACAACACATCTACCTTCACTAGCACCTACAACAACAAAACAGTGCAGTTAGCAATAGAACAAACTTGACACAACTTTGATTACGCCATACAAATTAAGCCCGATGAACTACCAGAGAGGTTTGTCCTAAGTTTTGCTGATTATCAACAAATTAAGACTTCGTTTGGGATGACTTTCTTACTGCTTCTTAAAACAATTTTTCTTACAAAAGTTGAAATTTTTGTAGTCAAAAACTGCTTTAAGAAGCAGTGAAAAGCCGTCCCAAATGAAACCTAAAAGCTCAAAAAGGAAGTTATTATCATCAGGCCTTGGAGTCCACAGTTACAATACCGGCACACCCACGTTTACTGATGTGGTCACAGAGCTCATCTAAAGAATTTGTGAGCTCTCCAAGGGCTTTGATAAGCTCATCAGCTTGACGCCTGGCAAACTCCGTTTCTGCAAGGCTTGGCTTCAAAGAGTCAATAGGTAAAGGACTGTGGCTTGCACCATCCTGCAATTCACTTCTCAATATGGCGCATACATGCTCTGCATTCTCCTGCAACTTACCTGTTTTTTTTTTTTTTTTGAAACATTTAGATCATTTAAGACAAACTCACACACACAACGCATACACAAAAATTCGAATCCAAAACCACTTAATTAGAAGCTTAAGCTCTCAACCGACACGCCAAGATGAGCTATGTACCTGTTATTAAACGGGCCTTCTTCGTGCTCTTTGACTTGGGGACCAACTCTACCTGGTCAAAAACTGAAAGAGGCAAATTTTGTGCACAGGTTTCAGGAGAAAGCGAGATAAATAGCATATATGGTTATTCTAAGAGAAGGATAGAATCCGTTCTCTTTACATATCATATAGCCTTCATCAAAATATTTGAATGACTAAGATTTAAAATAGTTAAAACTTAGACTTCAGCCTATTATCACATTCCAAATGAATTTTACCTATTTTAGGTTTTAGTCATTCAAAGATTTTGATGAATGGTGATGAGACCTGCAATGTTTTATGGTGCCAAATATTGGCCATTAAAAGAGAATCATAATACCAAGTTTAGTGTTGCAGAGATGAATATGCCAAGGTGGATGAGTGACTTTACCCTTAGAACTAGAATACGAAATGAGCATATACGTGATAAGGTTGGAGTAGCTCCAGTGGAAGATAAGATTAGAGAGAGTTGCCTTAGATTGTTTGGTCACATTAACCGGAGGCCTTCCGATGACCCGGTTAGGAAAGTTTAGGTATTATATTTGATTTATGTTAAGAAAGTTAGAGGTAGACTTAAAAAGACTTGGTTATAAAATATTAGAAATGATCTTTCTTTATTGGATTTAAATGAGAATTTGACTTTTAACATGACACAATGACAAAAAAGGATTCATGTGGGGGACAAATGCTTGATGTTGTTGTTGTGAGGATTTTGATAGAGTAAAAATATTGGTGGGTATGCGGGTTCTTATCAATCAGAATAGTTAGTACCCACTATGTGTGTGTGTGTGTGTGTGTGTATATATATATATATATATATATATATATATATATAGAGAGAGAGAGAGAGAGAGAGAGAGAGAGAGAAAGAGAACCTGTTATTACACTGGCCTTATCTGAGCTTTTGGAAGTTGTGATCAACTCTTCCGCTTCTGAGCTCTTTGAAGTGGTGATCAACTCTTCCTCTCCAGAAACTGTTGGGTAGATGTTGCAGGGAAGTTTTAGGTGAAAGAAAGCAAGAGAGAGATAGAGAAGAGGTGAGAGAAACAAAACCTGCTATTACAAGGGCCTTCTTTGAGCTCTTCGAAGTTGTAATCAGCTCATCCACTTCTGGGCTCTTTGAAGCTGTAATTAAGTCTTCCAGTTCTAGGCTCTTTGATGTTGTGATCAGGTCTTGCACTTCTGGTCTCTCGCCTAGGTTCTTTGAAGTTGTGTTCGGCTCTACCACTTCTAATCCCTCTTCTGAGCTTTTTGAAGTTGTGAGTAGCTCTTTCACATCTGGTCTCTTGGAAGTGGCGATCAGCTCTTCCACTTCTGTTCTAATTTGTAGGTTCTTTGAAGTTATGTTCAGCTCTTCCACTACTGGTCTCTCTTCTGAGATCTTTGAGCTTGCGGTCAGCTCTTGCACTTCTGGGATTTTTGAAGGGGTGATCTCATCACCTATGGAAACAGAAGCAGATGTTGAATGGAGACCTGCCAATACAAATGTTTTATCTGGACTCTTCAATGTTGAGGCTTCCACTTCTAGGATCTTTGAAGTGGTGACCAGTTCCTCCTCTAAGTGAACTGAGGGTAGATATAGCACGGAAGTTTCTGGCAACAGTAATTAAGTGAAAGATATGGATGAAGTGGAAAAGAGTGAGAGATTTGATGGTAGAATATCATCAGCAAATGAGAACTATTCATCTTCAGAAAAGGAAAGAAAACATGAACATGAAGAGAGGAAAATGAATAATATACATGTCAACCATTAAATCATAGCAGATACATTCATATGGTTATTTAATCAATGCAGAAATATTAAAATCGAACGAGATGAAAGACAGTAATCAGTATGAGTGTCAAATCACTAAAGCAATCGTCATATTAATATTACAATCAGTAAAAAATTGAATAAAGTGATAATATCAAATCATTGATAAAGATTGTCGAAATCAAATCAAAATAATAAATTTATATATGAGTGTACATATACTATCAAGTTATTTTATATTAGTATTAAATCAGTATCTTAATCACATAATATATTATGCATATCATGTGCTCAATATATATATTATGCTTTTTATCAATAAATTAGTAACAATGTTAATAATAAATATGTATAATAATACGAACAATACCTCAATAACATTCATTTCAGTTTAGTAGTCACACTAAATAAGTAAAAAAGATGACTATCACGGTGTTTTTGGGTATCGTATAATTGTTAGTAAATCGTTGGCTCACTAAACAGAGTCGTCATTATTTACCCGTCGGCACAGTAATCATATCTTTATAACTCTTAATTAGTATTACATCAATCAATAGAGGATAACACAAAACCATAAAAGTTAAAGGAAAGTCCGTCGGCCCACCATCCTATAGAGGTCAATCAATATCCAACCAACAGTTTAACAAGTCCTTACTTGTTTTTTATAGCTCTTAATTAGCATCACGTCAATCAGTAGAGGATAACACAAATCATAGCATTTAAAGGAAAGTCCGTCGGCCCACCATTCTATACAGATCAATCAGTCTCCAACCAATGGTTTAACAAATCCTTGTTTTTTACACGCACATTATTATTATAGTACTAAAAAAATAATTTCAATCACATATCTGCATTCATTTCTAATACATTGCAATAAATAAAACATAATTGAGCTTATTTCAATAATTATCAAAATGTCTCAACAGTAGACAACAAAAATACTACTAAATAAAAACTCACTGTTTAAAATATAATCAAATTATCATAGATCGTGTAAAACATCATTTTGAAGTTTTAATTGAACTAAAACATTATTTTTAGATGTCAAAATAAATTTTTGAATTGACAAAATTTTTTGTATTTTCAAAATTACCAGTTGAAAAATCTAAAACAAATACTTAAAATATTCATAATCTCAATCACTATAATATATAAAAAGTTATGCAGTGAAAATTTATCAATACAAAATTAACCTCATTTTTTTGTAACAGACACAAATTTAATCGAAAAAATATAAATAACACAAATTTCTTAAAATAAAAAAAAGGGTAAAAAATCTTTACAATGAGATGAGCAAATCTTCCAATAGGCTCGATTGACAAAAATTGCTTCACGACCTCAAAACCTAAGATTATTTCTCTCTCCTCTCTTTCTCTGTTAATTCTTTTTTTTTTGTTTCTCTGTTTGGCCAAACGATGGGGGGAAGAGAGAGGGCTTAATGGCTTAAAATATTTTGAATATAATAATAATATAATAGTGTAATTTAATCAATTTTTAGTATAAAAAATTATATAAATCCTTTGGAGCTTCAAAAATTATAGAAAAATATTCATAAATAACTTATTTTATTTAAAAAATATTGATGAAATTGATTTGCAAAATTGACACCTACCGGCCTCAAAATCTCTACTTGTATTGATATGTGTCAATTTCTTAACGATTTTCATCAGTGCTTAAAATTATGAAAAAAAAATCGATTAATTAAAACACAATAATATATATCTTATAGCGAAAACGGTTTTCAAATTTGACTTATAAGGACTCCTGAAAATTTTATTTGCCTGAGTTAAAATATGGGCTTTTACAACTGAGGAGCATCAACGGTGGTTTTCCAAGTTATTGGGCAAAGACTTCGAGATTCAGTATTGACCTAGAGTTAAAAATAAAGCAACCGATAGTTTATTCAGGTGCATGAGGGAGCCCCAAATGATTGCATTGTTTGTACCCTTAGAAGTTGAATGGGAAGTATTGACTAAAGAGCGAACTTATAGGAAATACTCGTATGCACAAGCAATCCCACCCAAAAATAAGTATCGCAGCAGGGAAAACTGCTGTTCACAGCAGGAAATCAGCCAACGACAGTAGAAAACTAAGGAAATTGGAGAGAAAACTTGTAGGAAACCAATAGAGCAATTGTATTTCACTAGATAATCCAATAAAACAAGCAAATATACAATTTCCTTTAATTCGAGAGGAAGGAAAATTCTCCTAATCTCCGGCGTTGCCAAGAGCCCAAAAGAAAACCCTAGATCTCAAAATAAGATTCAAAATTCAAGATCATCCTAATTCCCCCCTATTCCCCCTAATTAAACATGAAAGGAGGATTACAAATTACCTAATTACCATTCTAATTCAAATTTTCCCTCTTAATATTGGATTTAACTCCAAGTGGGCCCCATTGGATTTTCCGCCCCCCTCTTTGTTGCCTAGCTTCCGCCGGCTGTAGACCAAGACCGGTCCAGCCGGCCCCTTCTGGGTCGGCCTATCACGAACATGATAAGGGGATGAGAAAAAATAGGGAGGAGCTAATGGAAAATAAGGACAGCCATCTGGTACATTCAATGGTGATACAGAAGTTGCTTCATAATGGGCGGTTTGTACTTCCAGAGACCTCTTTTTACATTCTCTGCTTGCTTGAGAGTTTCATGGGATGGCCATTGGGAAAAATTCGGGGGTCAAAAAGGCATATCGTTGACTTTCTGTAGAGCTATATTAGGAGAGTATGCAGAAGGATGTCAAGAAGAAGGTGGCTAGCTGTGATATATGTTAGAAGTATAAGTATTTAACTATGTCTCTAGAAGGAGAAATTATTCTATACGGATACCGGACGGAGAGAACCGTCTGAATTTGATGCGATTTTGCTGCCCTTTGGAAAGGGGCAGTAAACAAACATCAAATATTCAATTATGAATGCGTTTTTACTGCTATTTTGTCGCCCTTTTGTAAAAGCGCAATAAAAATATAGTAAAAACACAACAAATCCTGATGGTTCTCTCTGTCCGACACCGGACAGAATAATTAGTCCTCCAGGAGGGCTCCTACAGTTGTTAGCTCTTCCAGAGAAGGTGTGGGAGGAGATGACAATGAATTTAATTGAAGGGTTGTCAAAGTCAGAAGGATATACTACAATACTGGTGGTGGTGGATTCATTGAGTAAGTATGCCCATTTCATTCCCCTTTCACCGCCCCTATACACAACAGTATCAGTAGCGACGATTTTCATAAAGGAGGTGGTGAGACTATATGGTATAATATAATCAATTGTATTGAATTGAGACAAGATCTTTTTCCGTCAGTTTTGGAAAGAATTGTTCAAGATGCAAGGGACTGTTCTGAAAAGGAGCATTACTATTATCCTCGGACGGAAGGACGGACAGACAAAGGCAGTCAATCGTAGTGTGGAGACTTATCTTCGGTGCTTTGTATCAGAAACACCAAAGTTGTGCGCAAAAGGGTTGGCATGGGCATAGTATTGGTATAACACTTCCTATTATTCAATAACTCAAACAACACCGTTCAAGTTGTTATATGGAAGAGATCCACCTCACTTGATATATTATGGGCAAGGCAATACATCGGTGGCATCAATAGAGCAGTACTTGGAGGACAAAAATAGTATATTGGTGGAGCTAAAGGGTCATTTATTGAGAGCTCAACAAATTATGAAGAAACAAGCAGATGCAAAATTGAGAGACATTCAATTTGAGGTGGGGGACAAGGTTTACTTGAAGCTTCGACCCTACAGATAGAGAACTTCGGCACATAGAAGAAATGACAAGTTATCAACCCATTATTTCAATCCTTACGAGATAGTGGAGCACATCGGTGTCGTGGCATATGGCCTAAAGTTACCACCGTCATCATCCATCCACATGGTGTTTCATGTGTCCCATTTGCGATGTGTGATAAGAGAGCAATTTCCCTTATCTTCACTTCCCCCAACTTTAATAGACGACATGGAGGTGTTATTAGAAGTTTAGAACCATTAGAGGTCGAAGGAGTGTGCCAAGGAGTAACAAGAAGCAAAGAAGTGTTGATCAGGTGGAAGAATCCACCAGAGTACGAGACCAAGTGGGAGTCATACCGAACTATTCCGCTGCAGATTCCTTCATTCCACTTGAGGACAATGTGGCATTTTTGGGGAGGAGTATTTATGGATCGGCTGAGCCGGTCCATTCATCACAACGAGCCCAAAATAGGGCTGGCTCGATTAAAATTGTGGACTTAAGAGAGGGGGGTGGCTGGCAACCTAAAAAGGAACTTGGAAAGAGAGGAGAATTAAAGGAGTGGATCGCTCATCAAAGGAGAATGAGGGAGAAAAACATGGATTAAATTCAGTTCTTTTTTCTTTCTTTTTTTTTTTTTGGTTGGGGGGGGGCATAGGCCATTTGGTTATATTTTTTGGTTGGGGGGGGGCATAGGCCATTTGGTTATATTTTCCTTTTCTTTATGTAGATTTTGTGAGTGCACTCGTTGTATACTATTTTTGTGAGGGATTCTAGCGTCGTCTAGAGTTTGTGAGAGAAGGACCTCCTCTTGAAAGAGGATCATTGTATTGTGCTTGTTCATGTTTGCTTTCCTAACAAGAAAATAGTTTAGTTTGCTGAAATTTATTGTTTGTTCGTTGATTTTGGTGTTCAAGTCCTAAAACACTACTTATATATTGTGTTGTACTCGAAGATCTAAGGTGTATCAAGGGCTTTCTTCGAATTAAATTTACTCGCAATAAAAAATATTTCTTTCTATCTCATATAAAATATGTCATTTATCTTCTTTCTATCTCCTATAAAATATGTCATTGATCTCCTTAAAGAACTAGATTTTCTAGTGTGCAAACCAATTGACACCTAATGAATAAAAAAATATGGTGTGATTATATAATTATAAGATGATCCATCTTACTATCAAATAATTTATTAAATGAGTCATATCATGATTGTTCGATAAATTTTATGCTGGTTGTCGACTGCCTAACATAGCCCTCCACTTTTCTCATCCAAGGCTTGGAACCTGACAATGACAATGTTTACACGATCGAATATCTCTTTTATTGTATAAATTATAAGGTGGCATATGCAAAAATAAAAATAGAAATATTCGGATCCTATTCTTTTCATTCTTTAATTCATCAAAATAGCTACAACGAAATGAATGTTGTATACTCAAACAGAACACTTACATATAAAGCATTCTCTAATGTCAATTACGCTAGATTTGTAGAGAACAAAAAGTCAAAGTCTAAGTATTATATTTTTTTGGGAGGTAATATAATCATTAAAAAGAGTAAAAAAAAAACTAATGCGGTCAAATCTAATGTTGAAAATAGAAATAGAGTAATGACTCATTCTGTATGTGAAATAATATGGTTAAAGATTCTCTCAGAAGAGTATGGTTTTCAAGTAACTAAGCCTATGGTTCCCTATTGGGGCAATAATGAGACCAAATACATTGCTAACAATCAAGTGTTTCATGAAAAGACCAAACAAATTAAATTTGATTGCTATTTCATATGGAATGTTGTGTTTCTTAAAAAAATAGTTAATCCTCATACTTTATGTTCAAAACAAATGGTGAATATATTTACCAAAGCTCTTCGCCATCTGTTGTTTTCTCTCTTTATAGTTTATACGGCAACTTTTAAGTTAAACACGCATATATGCATATATAAGGTCCAACTTAGGAGGGAGTGTTAGCATATGAGGCTTGTTAGAAAAATAATGTCTATAATCAAGAGAATATTTGATTTGGGTAAGTATACATTTATTCCTCTTTAATTGTGTTAATTCTCCCATTTAATTATTTTCAATTATATTAGTCATGAACATATATAAATACGTTTATATATTCCATGAATAAGATCTTCAAATTCTCTCATTTCAAGTCATATTTTGCGAGAATGGCTAAGATTTCCTAAATAAAATTACTTCAGAAATAACCAACTAAACATACCTGAATCAGCATTCATTTTGGATGTTTCAAACTTATGAACACTAATTATTAGCTCAGGATCACTATTGTTTGAGTCAGACTGCTGTTGCTGCACCTGAATAACAGCATCCATTGCATCAAAGACCTCTTTCTGAAATGAAACAGGAAGTCCATAGTCCTTCCTTCTATCCTCTGGAAGCAACCAATAGGAATCCTCACTTGACTGTGGCTCCCATTTCATGATTTTATTGTAATCATCAAGCAACATTTCCCACTTTCTTTTGCACTGGTTTGAAGACCTGACAACATTCATAGCCATGCAGCTATCAGATATCATCTTCCATCTCTGATAGGAAGATAATTCTTTAAGCCAGGCCTCATCTATTGCAACAATTTCACTAAGAAGAACCAGCACTTCCTGTACTGTCCAATCAGGAGCAGCTTGAGATCGAGTATAACGGGAACTTCGAGGAGTTTGAGAACTGCTATTGTCATGCTTTGGTTGTGAATGAACACGTATCTTTCGTTTTGATGGCGATTGATGACTAGTAGTGTCCTCGTTACAATGTGCAGCAGCTAGAGCTTGCACTACAGGTTGCGCTTCTTGCATTATATTAAGTTTCAAGGCAGCTGAGAGGCAGAATTAGGACAAGAGATGAGCAAATCCTCCGATAGAAACTGATCAAAAAAATTGAGCCAAGACATAAAAGGATATTCAAATATTGGAGGTTTTTCCAAGATCTGAATCTGAACAAAGAGATAATCAATGGTTGCTAGCATTTTAAATCCAAGACGCTCACAAGAAGACTCCCTTAAAAGTATTGCATGAAAAACTAAACAAGTGTTCAACATAAAAAACCATTGAAAGAGGGCCTGTCCTCTTAAAATCAAATTATTTTTCCAAGAATTCGCCTTTGAAAGGTTGCAAAAAAATTTCAACAATAGAAAATTAAAATTTTAAAAGTACAGTGCTTCTCCATAAAAGTAAATATGATGAAACTCGCTCAGGAGAACTGATTAAACCAATATTCACGCTACTGGAGTAAAGGAAATTAAAATTAATAGTTTGAGCTGCTTGGCTCCAGAAGCAGTGTGGAGGATTGAAAAGGAAGCAGGGTGGAAAATTGAATTGATTGATATAACCCAAGAGCACTTGGCGTGTGCTGATGAGCAAAATTGGGTGTCAAAGCAAAATTCAAAAGAGGTGTGAATGACTGAAGCAGCATTTATTCAGACGATGGGAAGAATGCTTCTTCACGTCACTTAGGATTTGTTCAAACCTGAGTCAACACACACACCAAAGTGTGGCAAGGATAACTAAGGCTAGCCTGATACAGATTAGTTGGTCAACACCAGCCTAGGCTACTCGGTCTAAAGCCCTGCCAACAAAGGACAAGACAACAGCCCTCAATCTTGTATCCAGGCAGCATTGCTACTGAGATCGCTAAGTGGCGGTGGTTGATCAAGGAGGCTCCTCAGCCTACCTCATCCTATGGAGTGAGCTATTTAGTGAGATAGATTATTTCCTAGGGCTGACAGCACCAATGAAGCAAGACAAACAAAGGGCATAATGTGATCATGAGGGGGACAAGTTTAAATGAACGAATAGAATAAATATCTTCCAAGATATTTCAGAATCCAAAAGAAATATACTTTTAAAATTAATTAGTACCATCCATGTTCTTGCTTGTTTAGAAAGGATCAAATAAAGAAGATATTGTAACCTCTCCCTGTTTAGCATGAACCCTCGGTACAGAGAGGAGACTAGTAATAATTTCCTTAAGAGAGAAATATATAAAAAATCAAAATCTCAAACCTCCTCTTTGAATCTGTAGCTTCCCCACGCCCTTCTCTAAAACTAGGTGCTCTCTCTCACACACACACACACACCCCTAGAGAAGCATAAAAGAGATCTGCTACTTTCATAAAAGAATGATTGAAAGCTAGCATGAAGATACCCGATCCTATAACTCTTCAATTAAGCTCCAAATTATCCCCTCATCAAATTCTATCACATATTTATATAAAAAGATACGCATATTAACCAAACAGAAAATAAAAAATAACATTTTGTTGTTCTACTTTTCGGCTTTCTATGCTACATCAATTCTCCTATTCAAAGGACAACTCTTCTTGATAAGTGGAAGAGTTTTTGGAGAAAGTGGACAGAATTCTGGGTCAATATCAACCAAGAAAAGAGCTCCAAATTTACACTTTAAAAATGCCCCAATTTCAATCAGGCTAAGGTAGGATGAATCTTCACTTCATGAAATAATTACCAGAGTAGCAAAGGAAGGTGGGAAGCTATCGGCTTCATCAATAAATGTAGCATGAAGTCAATATGATCAACAAATAGTAGAACCATCACTTGCAAACTTAGACTAATTTTTCGCTGACAAGTGGAATTTTTTATTTCCCTTGTTCAACTCCATTTTCTACATATGATACAGAATAATGCAAATAGAGAGTACAATAATGAAAACAAAATTCAATAAATAGATTGAAACATGGTTCAAAGAGTGGATTAAGGGAGATTATGTTTATCACTGGCTTCAAAATGAGAGATTTAAGCCCTTATATATTATGAACCAAGGATTATATATTGCACTCAAAACTTCAAATATTTCTAAATGGCATATATAACCCTAATGCGCATTAAGGGGCTGTTTGGATACAGGATTTGAGCAGGATTTATGCTAAATCCTGCCAACGTTTAAATCTCACAACGAGGTAAATCCTCCGTTTCCTTCTTTTTGCCGCAAATCCCCATTTGGCCAAAGAAGCTCGCGCGAAAGGAAGAAATGTGGTTACCTTCGCAACGAGCAAGCTCCCGTCGTCGCCGTCGTTACTTCCGATCCAACAGAAGAACGGCGAGGAGGTGTGACCTCGGATCCGACAGGAAGGAACGTCGTCGAAGGAGGCGAAAAAGTTCTTTAGCGATTAGCCACCCGATCTGCCTCTCACGCAAAACAGGCGAAGTCGAGCAGCGAACAGCCGGAGAAAGGAAAAAAGCAAACCTGCGGCTATAGGAAGGCAGTGATGAATAGATATTGCCAGAAAATAAATGAATAAATTAATTTAGTTTAACAAATTTAATTAAAATTAATTAAACCTATCATATAATTAATTATGTAAATTAATATATAATTAACTTAATTTCTAATTGTATTATTTATAATATCAGTTCTCTGATCCGAACTCCGCACATAATAATCTATGATAAGGAGAACATAAGTAAAATATAGTCTATTCACAATGATCCCTAATTTAAAAAAGATACATGTGACTGAATGAGACAATCATAACACAAGTGGTGATGGAGGGTCGAGAGTCTCCTTGTCATCAAACTATGCAAGGATAGAGATTTGAAGCTGGCCTAATGGGAAACGAGAATAATTTTATAGAAATTTTACTATTCTATTAAATAAATTTGTGAAATATAATGATTCTTGGTAGGGTGTCTGGAAAAAAAAAACTACTTAATGATCCCATCAATATTAAGCTTAATAAATTATAGCTCTTATGAAATGCTTGTATTTACTTTTAACTATTTTAATAATTAATATGAAAATATAAGGTTATATTTAATATCATAATTTATTAAATAATTCAACATATTTGATTTAGAGTCATGATGATTGTCTTTTAATGAGTTAATTGATAAAATGATGTTAGATTTAATATAAAGTGTGGTTCAACTTTTTTTTTAGGATGGACAAAATCTATATATAAAAAAATTAAATACCAAAAATTATATATATAAGCTAAAATTATTTATTATAATTTATGAAGTAAAAAAATTATAAACTTTGCATTTTATATTATATTTTTTCTGATAATGTTCCATAATGACTTCATTGAGAACATAGTCAAATACTTCATTCTCAATATATGACACTAGATAGTCATCGAGTAAAGTATCACCTATTTTACTATGCAACCGATGCTTAATAATCTTCATTGTGGAAAAACGCCTCTCCACTATAGCAGTAGCAACTAGTAAAGTCAGTGTCAAAATAATAAGTCTAGAAATCAAGGGATAAATATATATATATATACATTTACATTTATAATATGTTTGCAAGAGCAGTAATACTAGTCAAAGATTTAAACTCGTCATTTGTATGTGTATCAATAGTATAAGTAGATAACTGATGTTTAAGAGACATAAGATCAATTATAGAAAAATCCAATGTATATAACTTTGCAAGATGAACCGGAACCCTTCAACAAATAATCTCTACAAACTTCATCCATCCCATTCACATCATAATTTCACATTGATGGTAAAAGTCTAGTTTCAGTAGGGAGATTGTTCATATCAATCCTGATACATTCTTTCCTTTTCAAAAATCATTTCATTTTTTAAAAATGTCTAACAGTACTCTTGTATGTTGGCTGAATAACATGACAATAACAAAAAATCATAACAATAATATGTAATACATGCATATAATATGATCTTAACAAAATACAATTGTTGAATTGAAACAGAGGAGCATATGGTATGACAACTCATTGAAATGAATCATTTGTGAGGACACATTGATTTAAATTTGTAGGGTGCAAATAATATTTGTTCATACAAATCATGTCGACTCCATAGCAATATTCTCATCATCATTCAGTGATGAGTACTATTGATACAAGTGAGATATCCTTTTTTATGAAGTTAAAAAATCAACAGAGAAAGAAGATCTTTGTCGTTACAGTATTAATTGATGATAAATGATGTAGCACATACTTTTCTTTATGGCATTAACACATGAGAATTTATAAGGAAAGCCTTCTTACTATAATGGCAATAATTAAGCCTATATTCCAAAATATCATAACCTTTATAAAAATGATTACAAATTCTCCAATACGTGTGACATGTATCAACACTTAGGCTTCGTTTGGGACGACTTTTTTCACTGCTTATTAAAGCAGCTTTTAGTATAAAATTTTTAATTTTTTTACTAAAAAGCTGTTTTAAGAAGCAGTATGAAAGCCGTTCCAAACGAAACGAAGCCTTAGCCTACAACCTATAGATAAATAATTCAGCTCATGCATGGCAGCATGCAACCACAATTCAATCAGATCAATAATTAGCTCCAAATAAATTTCAAGAAAAAATCAAAATAAAGATTATAAAATCAAGGATCCAAACGAATAAGAACTACTTCTAACCTATAATTCCTAAGATAAATTTCTAGTTTACAAGGTATTAACAGATGATGCACATAACAACAAGTTTAACCTAACAAAGTAGTATGCCAATAATTCACATATAAGTTATGATTTGATGTCATTCACAAATAAACTATGATTTGAGATTCATTCAAAGAAGATCCACATTAAACACGCTCAAATTAAAAATTAAAGAAAAAATAAGGAATTCTTCAAGTTTCCCTTACCTTCAATATGAGAGGGGAAAACAACAAGGATAAGGCAACGAGCGTCTCAGTCGTGTAGGAACAACTCGTGACCAAGGCTGGAGGGGATCATGACTTGTGCACGCTACAGGGGGTCCAGACTTGTGCAAAGTAGGAAGAGAGAACTCAACGAAGGTTGAAGAGGGGTTGTGATTTGGATCCTATGGAATGGTGCACACAGCACACCGGTGAAGAAAAAATGCACAAGGGGGTGTGGGTAAGAAATGGGACATTGGGGTTTTTTTTTTTTTTTTTTGGCTATCAAAATTCCCAAATTACCCTTTCATTTTTACATTCTTATTCATTTTAATTCACACCAAATAATTTTTTTTAAAAAAAAAACTACTTTCATTTTATACATTTCCAAGCAACTTCAAATATTTCAAATATATTACATCATTTGACATTGCATCACTTGTTCGCTTCAAACCAAACAACCACTAAAAATGAAGAAGCCCCTAAAATATTTTATTTTTCAATTAAAGATACGAAAAGAGAACATGACCTTTTCAGATATTTAAGGGTTGATTCGGCCCTCACCATGTGTTGACCTTGTTATAACATTCAATCCAGGTACTTCACACGAACCGACTCCTCTCTCCCGCTACCCTTCACGCACGCACAATAGTTGAAGCGTCTGCCCATCTTGCATGTATCAAACCGAGCGAGCCAACCCTTCCGCACGTGAGTAAATCACGCGAGCAGGCCCTTTGATCATCTTTTACAAACGATTCTCTCTCCAATCACATGAGTCACATGATTCAATGCCTCTTGAATTCTTCCCTCTCTCTTGCTTTCTCTTCTCAATACAACTATGGGTAAGGGGTTAAGGCATCGCTTATCTCTCAAAATTTTCTCCCTCTCGCAGCAGTCGTCATACCTATTTCTCTCCTTCTTCTTTGTTTATTTCTCTCCACAATAGTCATCAAAGTCACCTCTCCCCTCTTTTCTCTCTTCCTCGTGGTGTTTTCCCTGAATTAACGTTATTGTTAGGGAAGTGTTCCTTTCTTATTTCCCTCTTTCTCTTGAATCAAGTTTGAGTCTTTCTCCTCCATCCTTCCCCGTTGATAAAGTTTGGGTAAGTGATTATTGTTATTATTTTTATTGCTATTGTTGTTTGGATGTTTAATTAGAGTAGTGCCATTAGATCTTGATTAACAATGCTTATATAATTTTATACTTTTATTTGTTTGTGAGTTTTATGTTTGATGTATTGGAACCTTTAATATAAGTTTGAACATTAAATTAGAATATATTATTCATAGGACTTTCAAGTTTTATCCTAAAGGCATGAACGGTTGAGCATCTTTTTGCTTTAGGCTTCATGTTATGCATAAAGTTAAGTAACTATTATTTTTTATTGGATAAACTTACCCTTCCTTATTAGGGGTGTAATCCATTTTATTCATTCCAGGTTCTTTGATAATTACTTAAACTGTCAGTCTGAAAATTATTGTAAAGTTTATTGATTATTTGCCAGCACTTATAAATATCTTTTCTTCTGCATAATAAACTATAAATTTTCATAATCATATTATTTATTGATTTATTGGTGCATAAACTCTTGTATTTTTTTTTTTTTTTATATTTTCATGCACGTGCTTTTATTTGAATTTGATAAATATTATATTGGCGAAACATATTTTATTATGGAGTAACAATTATCATACTAAAACTATAAAACCTATTGCAAAGTATTTATGAAAATTTGGAAAATTATATGCTTAGGTTTATTGATGTGCATGTCGGTAAAACCATATTCAATATTAGCTAGTCGGTGACGACAGGCCCCAAGAGTAATAACTTTATAGGAATCACTTGATTTTCTTGGGTATTTCTTTGGGTTGGTGTTTACCTTCCCTTGAAATGTTTAAATATATAATTGAACATGATTTGAAAATAATAAATGGCTGATAAGTCAATTGGGGTATGATGATACCCAACGTGATTGCATTAGAATGATATTATGTATGTAGGAGTTTATTGCATGTATTATTTTCACTAGCTAATTAAAATATGTCAGATATATCACCAAAAAAATATCATGATTAGACACAAATCTCGATGAAAAATCAAGTTGAAAACTTTCAAAATTAAATTTGGGACCATATGAACTCTGATTTCAGTAAATTAATAGTCGATTTGAACGTATCAAAAAAACAAACCCAACAACACCAAATTCGACCCAATCCGATCCTACATGGGTTTAAATCAAAGATCCAAAGTGCATTCGAAAGTTTCAAATCATAAATTGGATGAACAAACGATTTATAAACATGACATGCTTATAGTCGAATCGAGCGGCTCGATGAGACAAATCCAATGAGTCCAAGATCATTGAGTTTTGACATCATCAACGCACTTAAATACTAAATAAATGATCCATAATTAAAATATTCAATATCAACCATACATTTAAAATACTCCCAACATACCATTGATTTTCATCATATTTACTGGCCATGCCACTATTAGAAAATTATAAATAGATCTTTCATTCTTCACATGTAGGGAGAGAGAGGAAGGAAGGGGGAAGCGGGGGAGCCTAGAGGAGGAAGTGAGGAAGAGAAGCGAGAGAGAGAATTAGAGCTCTATTACCACCAGACTCCTCGACCACCTTTGGACTATAACGGACTTCCACCTAGTCACTAATTGATACTGGACTTCTGTCTAACCACCAATTGATGCTGGACTTCCACCCAGCTTCCAATTATTATTGGACTTACACCCGCTTGCCAAATTAACGTTGAACTTCTTCCCGATCACTAACGGATATCGAACTTACACCTCACCGACAACTAATGTCTGACTTCTGCCTGACCACAGACTGACATCGAACTTACACTCAACAACCAACTGACATCAGACTTTTGCATGACCACCGACTAAAGCATGACTTCCACCTAGCCGCTGACTACGGTGATTCGGACCTCTGTTACCAGACAACAATCTTTCTAACCACAGTCGTTTGCCGACTATTGCCCTTTTAACCTCTGTCACTAGATAAGGTCTTTTTGACAACCAATTATGATCCTTCCGACATTCGTCACCAAAAAATAGTCTTTTGTCCACTATCGCCCACTGATTATGGTCCTTCTGACCTTAGTCACCATACTACAATGCTTCAAACCTCCGTCGTCATACTACGGTTCTTCTGACCTCCTTTGCCAGACAACAACCTTTCTGACCTATATTACCCGCCGACTAGGGTCCTTTCGACCACCGTCAGTTGACTAATATCTTTCTGACCTTTGTCGCCCGCCGACTATGATCTTGCCGACTAAACAAACATGTCAATACTGATTTTTTTTAATTCCTACCATGTAATGCACTCTATGTGATGTATATTTGCTTCATCAAGCCAAGACCTTCCCCTGAAGGACGAGCCTCATTTGTAATCGACTGCAAACATTAGTGGATTTATTCAAACTGGGCCAAGCCTTGTCATTTTTCCTCTTTTTTTAGGGTCTTTCACGTAAAAACTTTGGTGTCTCTTATAAGTACTACACATTCTCTTTTATCTAATAGTGTGTTGGATCTTCGTACAAAGTTTAGAAGTTAAACTTTATATTTCTCTATCACCACAAATATTCTAGTACACAACAATGTCATAAGAAACTTAACATAACTCATGACTGTTTTGATATATTAATTATATGTTGTTACTTTCATTCTTTAGTTGTTCATATTATATGCCCCACTCCTTTCCTTTTTATGCTTTGATAGATATGAGCTACTTGCTAAGTATGATTTATTAAACTCACCCGTTATCTCTTTTTACAACAGGCCCAACATGTGTATTTGGGCGTACCATTATCTCAAGAGCAGAGTTATCAACAATAGTCTACTTTTTTATATTTTATATTTTGTATAGTTTATTTTATTTGTGATTGAGAGTTGTGTAGTTTCTTTCCTGTTTTTATTCTATTTACATTTTTTTGGCTTGTATTAGAGCTATTATATTTGGATGTATTGATTATTTGTATTTTATTAATTAATTGACTTTATAATTCACTTTGTTTAACATTTTATACCACTTGTATATGCTGTTCCTCTTTGTAAATTCAAACAAGTCTTTTTATTTGTTCATCACATTCTATGTTGTCAGGGTGTACCTTCTTCCGGACCCAAGTTGTGTCAGATCTGGCCCAATATTAAGCATGGATCTAAATACTTGCAAAGCCCAATAAATCCATTTTTAAAATCCTCTTTCAAATAATAATAATGAAAAAAGATTAAAATTGATGTGTTGGTTGGAATGACCGAATGAGTATATAATATTTTTGTGAATTTATCTTACTTGTTCGAATGTTAAAAAAAAAAAAAAAAAAAGACAAAAAACGGACGGCAACCACGTGGCATCTGGTTCCCAAAATTCGAAACGCCAGCGTGAGCGCGTAAACGTGAAGCAAAAAAAAAAGTACCCACTACGCTCTCGTCGCCTGCACCCAATGTGAAGCCAAAACCCCATTTGATCTCAATCCGTTACTCCGACCAAATTCAAATTTTCAAAATCCTCGATCCTTATCCTTCTCTCTCTCTCTCTCCCCCTTCCTCTTTCTGTCCCCTCCATTTTGATTTCTGCGCATGGCTTGCTCTGAGCGACTTTTGTCTTTTTAAAATTCTACGCTTCTACTTCGCTTGGTAAGTTTAAACTTTCGCGCTTTGTTCTCTCCGCTGCTTCTATTTCAGTTCGGATGCCTCATCTCCATCTCGAGAGCCTCCACAGGTTGAATCTCATTTTCCCAAATTTCCCAAGGAAATAAGATTTCACTTCCTAATTTCTGCTATGAGATTTATTTCTTAGGTGATTTGATCCAGATAATCATAGAAGTCATGGGAGGGATACGAGCAAAAAGGAACTGACAAAGAGCAAGATTTGCCTGTTTCAGGATAAAGAATGACATGGGTTTGGTATTATTGTAAGATTGTTGTGCTATTTTAGAAGATTGCACAAGATGCGGTCTCAACGGATAAGCTTAAAGGTTAAGGGGAGTGGAAGGATGGTAACCCCGCAGCAGGCAATATATGAGCTGAAACACAGGGTGGTTCTGTCTCTTAATAAGATTGCCGATCGGGACACTTATCAACTTGGAGTGGAGGAACTTGAGAAGATCGCCGAGGGTTTGACACCTGAAGGGATTTTTCCGTTTCTATCTTGTATTATTGACACTGACTCAGAGCAGAAGAGCGCGGTAAGGAAGGAGTGCATTAAGGTTCTGGGAACTCTTGCTAGGTTTCATGGGAACTTGATGTATGCTCATGTTGGAAAGATGGTGGCCAGCATTATCAAGCGCCTCAAGGATTCGGATTCAACTGTAAGGGATGCATGTGTCGAGACAGCTGGGATTTTGACAATGACAATGGGGAGCTCTGGTGGAGGTGAGAATGGATTTGTAGCATTAGTGAAGCCATTTTTTGAGGCCCTAGGAGAACAGAATAGATATGTGCAGACTGGTTCATCATTGTGCTTGACAAGAGTCATTGATGAGGCTAGAGAACCACCCATCACTCTTCTAGCTCAGATGCTTACTCGGGTTGTGAAGCTGCTGAAGAATCAGCATTTCATGGCAAAACCAGCTCTCATTGAGCTTATAAGAAGCATTGTTCAGGTTTGCTGACTTCCTACTTACGCATATGGTTTTTCCATTTTGGATGTTTGTTCTTCCTATTTACGCATGCGGCGCTTTTTTTTTTGGGTAATTTGACGGCTGAGCGTGATTCATTACTAAATTTTTTTTACAAAGTTACAGATGTAACCCAAAACAACTCACTTAATACATAAAAAGGATTAAGCGAGCAAAATTAAAAAGTAACATAACTCTAACAAAAAGAAAACAATCATAAATAAAAATTATAGATGGACTTAGAATTTTACGAGAATTCACAAATTGTATAACATATAGTAGACGTTAGTTAGTAAAACAGATAGAGGAGATGAAAGAGTTGTAAAATTGTCCGAGGTTGCCAAATGAACATGCAGGCCAAGATGCAGAGAATGAGAGAACCCCCCTCATCATAGCCATTCTCCTCAAAAAAAGAGCAAAAAGAGGAATCAGTGGCCCGAATATTGCTAATAAAAACATACAATTTAATAGCATTGAAATGATGCGAGTGATTGTGTTTTGACAATTGACGAGGCTACCAAATCTCCTCCTTTTTCTTTCTCTCCACACATAATAAACCACACAGCAAATAGAGAGAAAAGCCAAACAGACAAACTCTGTAAATCAGCAATAAACTCAAGCATGTGGCTTTTCCATTATGGATATTTTGTTCTTCCTAATTATTCATGTGGCTTTTTCCATTTTGGATGTTTGTTCGATTACTTTTATGGGTTCTTTGGCTACAATATTTAATAAAACCTGTATATGCAAATATAATAAATCCTGACAAGTTGAAAATCTGAAAATTGTTTGGTATGATAACTATTAAATCCTTATAAATTATCTCACTATTTATTTCAATTTTAAGATTTGTAGGTAGAATTCATAAAATCCGTCAAATCCTGTGAACGTTTGGACCTGATAAATCACAGGGGTGTCAATATTTGACCCGACCCGAACTAGAACCGGGTTCGGGTTCGGGTTCGGGTTAGGGATTTCGACCCGTTTGTAAAACCGGGTTGGATTCAGGTTGACCCGGAAACCCGAAATCAACCTGGTTCGACCCTTTTTTAATTAATTTAAGAGGGTTTTAAAGAATTTTTATGAAATAAGTAAATGATATTTCAAAAAATTATAAACATTGTTGTCCAAATTAAATTAATCTAGATTTATTTTAAATTAATTGAAGTAAATCTTAACTTAATTTGATTTAGATTTAAATAAATTGAATTAAATAAAAAAAATTTATAAAATATACCCAAAGCGGGTCGGGTTCGGGTTGACCCGGACCCGAAGCGGGTCGGGTTCGGGTTTTGAAAACAAACCCGTTTGCAAAAAAATGGGTCAGGTTGAATAGTGTCGGGTCAATTTCGGGTTGAATCCGAATCCAACCCGTGACCCGATTTTGACGGCCCTAATAAATCTTGCATTTAATCAATAATTGAATTGCAACTGGATTTATCAGAACAATAGGATTTAAAATCCCAAAATTTTATTTGGTAATATTTAAGCCAAATTTCGCTTAAATTCTTTATAAAATAGGATATCATAGAGCCCATTTTTTGGTTAATTACTTAATTTTCCCTTAATTTTTAGGTGGTCATTTTTTATTTGGTTCCAGGCAGGTGGAGCTTCTACAGATAATGCTTTGCATTTGGCAGTGACCAGCATAGCCGAAGCACTCAAATGTAATGACTGGACAACCCGCAAAGCTGCTTCTCTTGCATTAGCTGGAATAGCAGCCAGTGCTGGATCAGCAGTGGGATATCTAAAAACCTCTTGCATTTCTTCTCTTGAATCTTGTCGTTTTGACAAGGTTAGTTGTATAATACTTTGTTTAGTTTGAATGAATCGGTATCGGTTTGCAAGTATTCTGATTGATTTATCATTCATCTAGGTGAAACCTGTCAGGGATGCTGTAGTTCATGCTTTACAATGCTGGAAAGCTCTTCCAGGAACTGATTCATGTGATCCTTCAGAAGCTGGATCATCCACCAAAGGTTAAAAATGTTTTATAATGAAAGTATTTTTATCAGAAGATGATGAATACGTTTTGCCAAGCAGTATTATTTTGGACATTTTTGGCTATTAGCTATACAACTTTGTGTCATTGAACATTATTGTTATTTGTATTACTAACCTGGAAGCGATCTGCATCATGTTGGTTGGATGTCTCAAATGTTAATATTTGAAGGTAGTCTTGAATTATATCAAGGATATATATAATCTTAAGGGTTTTAACGTTTTACTTTTGATTTTTTGTTTTTAAAGTTTCTATATGCCTCCAAGTTAGATCCAATACCTTAATATAAAACAAATGGTTTTTAAAGTTTAGTTTAGATTCATTTTCTAGTGATTCATTAAAGTTCAAGCTCGTGTCTAGTTCACGTTCTCTGTTGTTTGTTTGAGTTCAAGTTAAGTTCCATGCTATCCAAATCGAGTCCTCTGTTCAATTTGTTGTTCACTTAGATTCAAATTCTGTGCAAATTCACTTAAGTTTAGTTCATCATTATTTGCTTAAGTTTAGGTCCTCTGCCACTATAAAATTCGGTAGCCTCCCAATGTTTCCTCCATTTAAAGAAAATTCCAGGAGTCTCGGCCTCTCGCCACTCTAGAGAAAAACATGTACAATAGGTATCGGATGATACTATGGCTGTAAATCTTTAATCCCATCACGCTAGAGAATGACGTGTATGGGTCCTCGGGGTAGCAGTTTGAAATGCACAATTATTTTCCCCATAGACACTGGGGCATCTATAGGTACTCATATTCATCCCTGCCGCACTAGAGAAAAGCGCGTACAGGGCCTATCGGCCTTGCCATAAGCATAACACAGGTTCCCTTTTCACCACGCTAGAGAAAATCATGTATGTGCAGTTTTTTAGTGCGCCGCGAACGCCGAGAGTGAGATTTGAGTTGGGAATGTGTGACAAGACGACGACGATTTGCAAAAATACATATATTTTCTTTTCCACTTTCACTCTTTTCATTTTTCACCCTTTTTTTCTGAATATTTTCTTTTCATTCTCTTTTTCTTTTATTAATACACTCTCCCACTCATCTTTACCTGTACGATTACCTCTAGCCGGCCAAGCCACATTTCAACAACCCCAAATCGAAATCCAAACAGCCCATAAATCCTCACATTCCGTCAACCCAAAAATCTGAAGGATAAGTTTTGATTATTAACAGTGGTTATCGTCGTTATTTAATGTAATTGATGTCATAGTCAAGGTTTAAAATTGCGTAATTAAGGCTCGAGGCGGTTTTCGTCCGTGAGGCGAGGCGTAAGCCTCGAGGCGGTCTGAGGCGTAAGCCTCACGGACACAGAATTGCGTAAATGAAAAATTAAGGGTTTTAGCAGGAAAATAATAGCAATATTCTATCTTACAATAAAAACATCTAAATGATATATGAAAATAATGGAAAGTAAGAAAGTAGATGCAATAAAATCATGTCCCAAAGTACAAAATCACAAAATATTAGTTTAACAAAACTCCCAAAGTACAAAGAACAAATAAAATGCAATCATATCCCATCACTAAATGGGTCTTCAAGGGAATCTTCTTCTCCAATTAATCTTCTTCTTCAAGGAAGAGCCCTTTCCACTCTCACTCCCAAAATAAGCGCCATGTTAGACCATATCATCAAATTGCTCCTGTTACAAGTGTTTTGCCGTGGTACTTTTCTTCATATAAGCAATAATTTACTCCTTCACCTTTTCCGGCACATTTGCACACGGTGCTACGTTTTTATGCGAGCATGATAAGTGTTCATTCATGCGGGTAACACCTCCCTTCACCACTTTTTCGCAAAAATTGCATTTCAAATAAACATAGCTCTTCTCTTCGCCGCCTATGTCAACTTGTACAATATATTTTCAAGAAGGGTCCCTCCGCAATGACGCAGACCCCTTTTCCTTGCCTCTAACCATAATCCCTAATGAAAGAATCCAAAATCACACAAAATAATTAAAAAAATTCAAAACCCTAAAATTTCTTTCACCTGAAAAATCTAACAAAAAAAAAAAAAAACCTAAAATCGTTTGTGGACTTCTCCTACAAGGCGGCCGGACGCTTCAAGTTCGCCGGAGAGAGGCAGCGCCGGCGGGAGAGCCGGCGGGAAGGTTGGCCAACCGTGCGGGAGGTTATGGTTTCGCGACCTGGAGCTTGCGGTCAGGTAAAATTCGCGAAATGCTTGTAGCCGATCGGGTATAAGGGAAAAATGCTCATTTTAAGTAGGTGGGACCATTTGGATGAGGCGTACGCCACACCCATAATTGCGCAATTGAGGCGCGCCTCACACAGGGTGAGGCGTACGCCTCAAGCAGTGTTCAAATTGCGTGCGCCTCGAGGAGCTTTTGGACAGAATTGCGTAGAGGCGCGCCTCTTGTTGCGCAATTTTAAACAGAGGTCATAGTTATATATATATATATATTATCTTTTAATTACTTCTGTTATAAATTATTTGTGACCATTAAAGTGTCAATGATGAAATTAATCTTGGAGATGTTTGGGTGACATGACTAGTTTAAGGTGCAGTATAATGTTGCATAGCTAATATCAAAAGTACTTTGAGTGCATATCTGTTTTCTTTCCAATCTCACAGGGGTATCCTAAATACAAAATTTGTGCTTAATGATGGTCCGAATTGAAATCAAACGGGGAAATTTATAAAACTCTCTATACGGACAAATTTTTTTTAAAATTTGCTTCCTTTTGTCTACTTATATTTTTTCTAAGGCTTGAATTCTCGATCCAATCTACTTGAGCTTTCTTGATATGATTGAGTGGTTGTATTTGTCATATCTGATGTTATTAAGATGAGAACTCTACACTGCCATGTATTATTTATTTACCTTTGGGTTGAGTGATTGTGATATACACATCTCTTGAACCACGCTTCTGTTTGTGTCAGATATCATAAGCGGAGATTATACTGATCTTACTTGTACTAGTGATGGTGGATGGAGACACTCAACCAGCAAAACAAGTTCTATGGCAGCTCTAAGCGGTACTTCAAGCAACTCAACTAAGAAGAGGACTCCACTAACCATCATGAAAAATATTCCCAATCAAATGCAAGATTATCAGCATAAAGATTCAAATGAGTGGCATATTGAAGTCTCTCTTCCAAAGAGTAACAGAACTTTCTCAACTGATGATAATCATGAAGAGCTACAACGATCAACTATTCGAAAGGAACATCTGACAAATGAAAATGCAACAAGATGCTGGCATGCGACATATGAAAGAGACAAAATAGAAGAAAAGACAGTCTCCTCCAATATGTCTAATTTCATTAGTGAAATCTGTGAGAACAAGCATGCAGCTGCAAATAATGAATATCTAGATGAAGGTAGTTCTGCAAATATAAACACTATAGATTCTGGACCTGTCACTGAAGAGATTGACTCTGAAGGCTTCAGAATACTAGAGTGCAATAGTGTGGACTCTACTGTTACCGATGTGGCTTCACATGGTTTACGTGGATGCTGTTTGCATGTTTCTAATGAGCTGGCCTTCATCAGAAAACAACTATTGGATATCAAAACTAAGCAATCAAAGATACTAAATCTTTTTGAGGTAACCCTTGATATTTTTGAAACTTCCATTGGTCTGGTCAAACGTGTCAATTTTTTTTTTTTAAGCTTATGGAAACAACATAATGGATGGTGATAACTCTAAACGACTAGATCGATATTATGAATTTGCACGACACAAAGTGAATTGGCGTATCTTTAAAATTTCTAAAATTTTTACTCAATGAAAATGAACTAATAATTGTGGGATGAGCTGATCAACAATTTAATAAAACCTCCTTTTTTATGATTTTTTTCAAGAAAATAAATATATCAGGATGCAATTTAATACAAGATGCAAGTAAGTTAGTTAAAAAAATTGAAAATTAAATTATATATTTTTAATCAAATTTATGTTTCACTTTAAGATGAGATAATAACTTATCAAGATCAAATTTAATTTCTCATATTCATGATATTAAAAGATATTATGAGAGTTTATATAAAAATCATCATTGCATATCATGGTGGTAGCACAAAAATAATAAAGTGAATGCCTACCCACCTACATCCACTTTTGAAGCTCTCAACTTACGAATTTCACTATCGCTCTCCTTCTGCTCCACAGAAAGCAGAGAAGCCTCTCTCATTCACAGGGTATTGGACAAACCGTACATCTCTTTTTCTTCTTAAAAATCACGGCTACCCTAGCGTCCTGACTATATTCTATAGTACATAGAAAAAGCTTTATAAGATTAATAGAACTTTTGCAATTCAAATACAAGGTCATCGATTAGAGTTTGGACTCTCAAATATGTGGATTAATAATATGATTTGGGGGAAGCAACCAATTGTGCAAAATATCTACAAGAACCTCTTTTTGAATGGTGAAAAATCTATAAAAGAAAGTTAAGTAGCAACTAGCAAGAATAACTCTCTCTCCAAAACACTTATAACACAACATCTATTCTCAAAATCATATTCTAGGTTTTTTAAAAAGTATATTTATAAGGTGGCTTGATTAGAAACTCTAAATGACTGCTGATTACATTTTTGGCTAGATCGTATAGTATATGAATTGAGAATTGTACAGTACGATTAATTTGACCAATTTTAAAGAAAAAATATATTTGTTTGGTCGGATTCGGATTGTACGATACATATCTATAGTACAATATTTTTCTTGGTTTGATTTTTTTTTATTTTCTTCTAGATTCATCACTCTCAAATTTGTAAATTAAGTGTACGCTTAATTCAATTTTTGAATTCATCTAATTAAGGAAAGGGAATATGTCAGTTTTGCCATTTTAATATAACTAATCTTATACAGCATGGTTATTATCGTACAATACGATTAGTGCTGCATTTTTAATTTTGAATTTCTAATAATTAATACTGATTGATCTTGCAGGATTTTCAAAAAGTCAAACATTGTACAATAAAATACATCATTATATACTATGATTTGTCATAGATCAAGTTGTTTTGTTTAAATATTTTAAAGTAGTTTTTCAAAGCATTTTCATCTTAATTTATCTCTCGCATGTGTGTGTGGTTGTTTCACTTAAATCATATATTCGACAATACAAGAAGACATGACTAAAAAAAAGTAAAAGTTTAGTTCGAAAGTTTTGCACACAAACGCAATAGCCAATATTGAATACTATTAATAATATTTATAATCATCAAACTTTTAATAAGCTTATATGCTCATGCGATTTAACACCTCTTTTATTGAACAGTTCAAACTCCTACAGTACTTTAGACATTAATCTTGAAACTGATTTCACCATTAAGTCATTAATTTACTCCATACAAAATAACACATCAAAACACAATACATCTATAGACCATTGTCAGAGAAGGCCTTAGTTCATGATCTTTATCAAATTACTGGTTATTTAAATTCTCTCTTTTCACTTGAAGTTCATTTTATTTATGCATACAACTTGAAGTTGATTATGTTTTCTATATACAATTACTCTTCTAGATTAATTATAAATAATAGTTTTTCTCATGCCGGCACGCATGTAGTGGAAAGGATAAGTTCTCACACGTTAACATTAGCATTTCTTTTAAATGATATGTTCTGAATCTGCATCTTATAGTTTTTCTTGTCATATAAAATTGTTCAATTAATTTTGGTGTGCTAATTTTACTGTCCCAACTTCCAGGTTTTTGTTGGAAACACCACATCCACCCTGTCAACATTGCACTCAAAGGTAGAGAACCTAGAAGGTACTGTTGACGAATTAACACAAACTTGTGCTCAGAAAGGGAGCAACTTGAACATAGAAGGTCTCAAGTATTTGAAGAAAAATCAAAGTGAAACTTCTTCCCCAAGGCTTTCTACATGCACACCCAGGTCATCATTTGACTGCAGGCCTCATTCAATAATGCTTTCTTCAAATAGAACGCAATTATGCAAAGATAAATTATTATCTAGAAGTGAATCAAACAGCTCAGCCAAAGATGGTTTTGACTTATGGCGTGATCCAACCATCAAATTGATTAGAAATCCAGTAGGGATAAATGTTCAGAAAAATACGGGAAGGAGAAAGGTGAAAGAAAATGAGAACCTGTTTTCTGTTCTAACTTCCAGTGTTTCTTCCAAACAAGAAAACTTTGACAACGAAGCTATTTCTTGGAAAATAATAAATGATTATATGCGTGATCGGGATGTGGAATCTATATATCAGGAGACTTTGTCTTCCGGTGATGATGTTAGCCTGCTTGAACTTATGAACAGAACAGGGCCTGTTCTAGAAAATTTAAGTCCTGAGGTAGCCAGCCAAGTTCTTGGCATTCTAACTAGGAAGTTTTTAAATCATAGTTTCATGCCCTCGATGATTCCTTGGTTGCAACAGGTAAGTTGCTTGTAATTTCCGTTATCTTAAATGCCATAGCTTTTGTTTCATTACTTGTTCTGTTTTAAGTACTACAACTTGCATTGTCACATATGTACAGATTATGCCCTTTGTAACTTATTACCAGCCATGCAGAAATGCGCATTTGTAGTTGTTTTCAAGGTGACTATATTGCTTATTGTCTTTTAGGTGGTTGACTTAAGTCATTTTCAAGGAACAAAGCAACCTTTTCTTTCTAAAAAAGGACAGATGGAGTTTTTGTACGCATTAAAGGGCATGGCAGAAGTGGATTATATTAATCACGGTGACAGAATATCTATAGCTCAGTTTGCAGTAAAGTTGAGCAAATTATGGGGTGAGGCTGCAAGCAGGTAATTTTTAACTCAATCTATTTAGCATGTATATCAACACAGTTTATGGCCGCACAATCAATATTAAAGTTGAAGGATATGATATGGCCATTATACTACAATATTATGCATCTTGGGGCTAATTTTAGAAATTTTTACTGTTGTATTGTGCAAAGTGATTGATGAACATATTAAATAAATATCTCATAAAGTGAAGATAAATAGAAATAAGAGTAAGAGAAAGAACTATGATAAATTTATGTTCTTTTTAGGTCAGTGTAATGTGTTGTATCCAATTTGTATGAAAAATGTTCCTAAATATTTGAAATATGATCAAAATGCATCCAATTTTTGTTTTATTTAAAGTATCCTTCAAACATGTCAGCTTCGTTTCTTTGAATGCTACTTCTCAATTAGTAAGAAGTGCCTTTTTAACTTGGCCTGATTTTGTATTTTTTTAATTTTGAATAATTCTACACGATTTGGATTACTAGGATAGGTAATTTAATAATATCATCACATTTAGTTGAATTCTTCATAGTTGGCATTGGGGTAATATAATGATAGCTAATGTGGTCATCAACTTATGTAGATGTCTTATTGACTCTTAGAAGTGTGGAGAAGTAATAGCAACATATCATAGAATTGAAAATAGCTCGGAATACCCTCATGCTTTATTTACTTACCATTAAATTGTGTGTTTACTTCACATTATTTGCAGGATAAACAAATGATTATGCTTCATATAGATGACATGTAACATTTGTGGGAGAGGATTATGTAGTTAATTCGAGCAATTAAGAAGTGGAATTGAATGGAAAGGTAAAACCAAATATGTTATTATTGAATCAAGAATTATCTGTGAATCATACTGATATAATTGGACCAGTCCAGCCGACCCTAATTGTGGGTTGACTCCTGTAGTACAACAAGCGCAAGCTTGCTGCTTCGTAGACTATTGATTTTGCCCCCCCTTGGGGTGGGGTCTGCTATCTAGGATTAATTGCTTGAGGGTTGTTTAGTCATTGGATGTTAATTTTATGTTTGCTTTAAGTAGGAGTTTGTATTAGGGTTTGGCATCTTCCTTGAAAAGGCAATAGTAAGCATTGACATGTTCTAAATTCCTCTTTCTTCACGAAGAAGAGTCGAAGATGACCACTCACTATTAGGGTAGTATGTTTCACAAGCAATTGGATTAGAGGCCAAGGCTCTTGTTCCCAAAGTCTCATCTTCCTTACAACATAATTAGGGCAACAATCAGACAATCTACTTTAGGAGTGGTTCTTGGAGTCCTCTCTAGTGCTCCTTGAATCATTTGAGTCGTCTTTTCCTCAAATTAAGTGAGTTAAAGAACAATCATCTACTCCTGATTATCTAAATTGGCAATCTTCTTCCCTTCTTTGATATTAGTTTACGTCACATGGTGCTTCTCTTCTAATTAATGCCATGCTCCATGCTTGTTGCACATTTTACGATATTAAATCTAAAATTATCCTTGAATCACATCCAACTATATTGGGAATACTAAGGAGTTGTTTGGTTGGCTGGAAAAGGAATGCAGTGTAAAAGAAATGCAATTTATTTAAAATACTTTTTGGTAGTCGGTGGCTAAGACTGGCGGTGGTGATAGGTGGCGACAGCCGACGACAGACAATGAAGTTCCAATGCACCAAAAAATGAACAAGAAGGTGAATTTCAAATACACTAAAATTTTACACTGCATTTTGTTTACTTCAAGCCAAACACTAATATTCTTGAAACCCCTGCATTTGAAATATTTTATTTTTCTTTTACTTCAAACCAAACAGCTCCTAAGTGAAAAAGAGAACAAGATAGTAGGAAGAGAATAATTCTAGAGTAAGAAGTTATGAGATTTCACTAAAATAAGCTTGAGTGCATAAAATTGCGTGTTAGAGACAAATTGAGTAAATTGCGCAAGCTAAGCTCTCCTCTTGACCCCTTGTTGGTAGATTTGAGTCGAGACTTAGGCATTAAAAATTAGCCATATGTATGTCTATACTAGAAATAAGAGAAAATTATTAGGTCTGACTTAATAAAATTGTTTGTGGAGCTTTGAAGAAGTTGTTGACTTATTAGTTGAATGGGCAAACAATCAACCAATAGTTCATCTCGTGAAGTTGTCCCCCTTCACTAGTCGACAAGGCCAATTGTTAAGTTTTATTTGCCCACTAGGACAATTTTTTTTATTGTAGTTGTTTAAGGCGAGTTCTCCGATAAGCTAATGAATATGAAACTGAGTAGATCGAGTTAACTTGATTTGAACCGATTTGACTTATCTAGAACTGGTTTTCTTGAGCTTGAACATGAGTTTTTTTAGATAATTGGAGGCACACTTCTATTTTAAGGCTAGGGTCATATAGAATCAGATTGAATGTTAGTTACATACTCCATACTAAAATATAAGATCACTTGGTATAACCATCCAAACAGTTTGAACTGATGGAATGCATAAGGTACACAACATTTGAGTCTGACTATGATCATCTTCGATTGCTTTCATGATTAGGGATGTTGAGAAGTTATTGGACCATTGGATTTAAACTAGCTATCTTAGCAGCTCAAGCTGATGGATAATTCACAACCAAAACTTCACAGGCTCTTTTGCACCACAATGTACCCATACACTACACTATGATTCAGCCATCGCTGGCCCTTGTTTTTTTTTTTTCTTGTTTTTTTGGCTGACAGGATTCTCATGAACTTGTAGGAGAATTCCTCTGCCGAGAGGTCCCAATGAAAGCATCAAGCCGGGAAAGACTGCAAAGGTTTGACAATATTTTGGTTAGAATTTGCAATATGTAAAAGTTTTTAAGCTTGTAAGTGATAGCTCCTCTTTTAATGGCTCTGGACGAAGTACTGAAAATTGAAATATTAATCAACTGATTGTGCTTCATAACGTATCAATATATTCCGTGCTCAATTTCTATGATGGCATAGGGGGTTTTGTCCAAATTGATGATTGATTTTGATAAGCTGCCCATTAATATTCATTAATATTATGTTTTTTGAAGTGTGCAATAAAATCCCAACTTATGTTTTTTATTCTAATTTTCTTTAAAAAATTTTGTTTGTGTATAAATACGTTGATTAAAAAAATTTTAATGTTAATTTTGTTAATAAGTTTCGATTGTATGTGTAAATCTCTTTCAGAACTAAATTGTAATTTACACAAATGAATCAAATTAATTGCAATCGGTCAGAGTGAGCTTATAGTGGACTCAAAATTTATTTCAAGTATTTTGTTAATGAATACATATTAATTTCATTTGAATTAAAACCCAATTTATTTAAAGCAAATCATCTTTGAGCCACCTTACATCAATTTCAATATTTTTGTAGTAATTTTAACTTAATTACCAAGCAATCTTTAACATGTATAGATAATCTTATTTAAAATTTTTTAAAAATTGACTTTTAGTCTCAATTAAGGCTTTGTTTGTTTTTTTGTGCTTTTTTAAAAGACAATTTTAAAAAACATTAGTTTAGAAAATGGAGTTTTCTAACGGAGAAGCACATATAAAAAGCTTTCTCAAAATTGCAGAAAAATGAAAAAAATGAGTTATTGGGAACGTGATTTGACGAACCAAACAACTCAAAAAAAATATCCTCCGTTTTGGAAAACAGAAAAGGCAAAAAAACGCTCAAACAAACAAAGCCTAAGTCTGAAAATCAAGCTGCATAGATGCATAAAATATAAGATTTGCTTGGTTTAATCAAAGCTTCCAAAGTGAAATAAGCATTCGTGATAGTAAAAGAATATCATCCATTTATTAAAATGATCACTTATTTTAAAAAAAAAAAAAAGTTAGTAAAAGTTATAAAACGAATACTTAAACATTTTACTTATGTGACTTTTAATGGAATCTGCAAGCTTATATGACTAGTTTTGCATGATAGTACATAAAATCCGTTGAGAAGTACTGATTTTTTTCTTCTACAAAAATATGAAGGTTCACCAGTATCAGCTGATTCATAGAACACAACTCCAAACATTGCTTGGAAATTTAACTTAAAAAAAATTTACTGATATTCCAAAATTTTAAGCTCGCAAAAAATACGAAGTGAAATTTCATTTGAGATCTATTAAAATAAATGAAATTTTGATTATACATCACTTAATGCTAAACATAATTGAATGTTGAAAGCAAATAAAATGAAATGTCAATGCATAACAGTCTGTTTTAATTCATTTTTAGTCGCACATAAACAAAGTTAAGAATCCCAAGATCAACAAGCATGCCTTAAGGGAATGATGCTTGCCTTGGCTTCAGGGTGCTCATTTGTCTAGCGTAGAAGCTGGATTTCTACATACAAATTTAGAAACTTGTAACAGGAGATTCACCAGCGATATCGCTATTTGAGTTCTGGTTTATTCTTTCAGAACCATCAAAACGTTTTCATAGTGCATATGGTTCCTCTCCACCTTGATTTAGTTGAAAATTGACATAAGCTGAAGAATTTGTTGAAAAAAACAAACAGCTCTCTGGCTTTCTGCAGAAATCATGGCATCAGAGTTATATAATCAGTAAAGGAACATATATATCCTTAGTAGTAATAATCAGATTCATTGCTCCGACGAGAAGTGCTGAGCTCTCCACCAATCTTCTTGCTAATGCTCGATCGCCGCACGCAGAGAACTAGGGCTTGCACAACTTCAGAAATTGGTGGACGGAATTCAGGCTCCGGCTGAAAAGCAAATATGTAAAATCCTTAAAGTTTCTCTGGAATAAGATTTCAATACTGAAAATAAAAACATGGACCAATTCCATCAAGCGAGCAATTGGATTATAAGGTTTTGAAGTGGAAATAGAAAAGTAGATACAGAACCCCGCTTTTGTTCAAAAGAAATTAGGATTAACTGTTCAGTACTTGAACGCTGGAAATGATAAAGGTTCACACCAAAGTTTACCTGGACGCAGAGAGCAATAACATCAGCAAATCGTGATAATGATTTTGGAGAATAAAGGCCGCGAAGAGCAGGATCAACCATCTGGGCTAATGCACCAATGTCATGGAGCTGTGGCATTGCCCATCGAACCAAAGACTGCTCCGGTCTTGGCTTTGAACTGAAAATGCAGAAAAACCAGTTATATACCCACATAGAACATAAAAAGTGAGTCTATGTTTCCGTAAATCCCTAGTGAGATGGGAGAAGAGAAAGACAGGTATGTCACAACATCTGAACAATCAATGGTTGTTTGAGATTTCAGGTTTCCAGAGTTAATAAAGTTCTTAAGAGTTCATATCTCCAACCAGCTTGAAAACCTACTGACAAGCTATGCTCAGACAAGTTGAAAGCTGAGATTGAACAGAAAAGCTGCATGCTTGGCTAGGAAATCAAAATACTCATATGGTAGGCCTTCCTATCTGCCAGCATGCAGACTTTACAAAATTGACCATGAATAAAAAGTTTTAGTAGACTTATGAGTTAGCACAGAGAAGCCTTGAGCTTAGAGAAATATTGGATGGTTTGGCTAACATCTATATTTTATATTTAAAGGTCGACAAAAAGTTTAAGAAAAAAGAGAAGGTTACCAACTGGTCAACATGAGAGAATTCAATATTTACGAGTTATTTCATTTAGTTTGTTTTGGAGATTTATTGCAATTTCAGCTTTTTTTTTAATATATAACAAGTCTCAATTAGCCTAAAACCACAAAATGGGATAATTAGGCACAACACTGAAATAGCATGGCTCGACTCAAAAGATGCTGACAAGTTGGAAGAACATGACACAACATAAGTAGTCTTTGCTGGTTCCCCACAGATACAGGAAGCCCAAAATTGGGTTCTCATATTAGGTAACAGAAGTTAAGGATTGATTAACATGGTAGCTTCTCTAGATGAGCAATCTTGTAACCAAGAAAAGGTGCTGTAAGTAATATATCATACTTCTTCATTCTAGTACCTGTCAAAAGGCTTTCGACCAGTCAATAATTCCAACATGACCACACCAAAGCAATATACATCACTCTTCATGGTGTAATCAGATGGCTTATTGTACTCGGGGGGTTGATAACCTGGTCCCAAAGTCTTGTTTGTTTCCTGATAAAAAACATGCAAACATAACATTGGTTATAGATTTTCATTCCAAGTTTTCCTGGATGGTGGAAACACATAAATATATACAGACTAATATAAACACCTGGTAGAAGGATGCTAACCCACAGTCAGACAGGTGGGAATTGAGCTCAACATCAAGTAGGATGTTGGAACATTTTATGTTCTTATGAATAGTAGATGGGGAGCAGACCTCATGCAAGTATCTGCAAAAGAATAATATTTGATTGGATAAGGAATATTAAAGCATATATTCACATTCATGTCATTTAAAGCAGTACACCAAAAAAGGTATACATAACTCTGAACAAAATTTTGACAACCTGGTTACAGTTAATGGAGAAACATGATGGGTAGTTGTAACAAAGAAAAAAGCCTCACTATTACAGCACAATTTCCCTTGCAAAAATCATCAGAATGACAAATACATAAATGGAGGTATCAAGAATGAACTTAAAAAATGAACCATATAAAGGAAACGATAATATGGCATGAGCATGATGCTTCGATCTTTGCATTAGACATCTAGAATAACAGGTTAAGTATAATAGGCATGCAAATTATCCACAGTTATGTACTGATCAATATATGGAAAGATTACCATCATTTCACAGTTCAAAAAGCATGTAAATAAAATGTTAAATTTAGATAATTGGACAGGAAAGGCTTAATTTTATTGCATAAAACTCTCCCTATTTATTAGGGGTGTCAAAACGGGTTAACGGGGGTCGGGTCCAACCTGGCCTTACCCAAGTCAACTCGAAATTGACCCGGTTTTGAAAACGGGTCATTTTCTCAACCTGGACTTGACCTGCACAGGTTGTCGGGTTAACCCGACCCGACCTGCGAACCCTCTTGCAAACGGGTCAGGTTTCCCAAACGGTGTCGTGAGGCTTGCCATGAAGTGTACGGAGGAGCAGAACGCCTGTGTGAGTGCGCATGCATATGCATATTCAAGATATCCAAAGGCTCCTAGTATGACCGCACAACACAAACTCCAACTGCCTACTAATAGCATATCCATGTCCACAACCGAAAGCATATCTAGTTCATCTTCTTCTTCCGTGGCCGAAAGAGATCATCCTCCGTGCAAGATGTAAGCGGCGTGTTCGGCGAAAGACGAACACCTATGGCGAACATCAATAGCTCTGAAAGCTTTCCCCCACCTCCCACGAAAATTGTGAACGTGGATGCACTGTCATTGTCGAGGCAGAGCTGGGCGAAGCTGTAATTCGAGGCAAAGCGCAGATACATAACGTGGCACTCACCACGGAGGCAAAGATGACGAAGTCTCCTAAAATTTCGAGTCAAATCGGGCAAAAGTTCGGTTAGCGGGTTGAGCCGAACCTGACCCGATTTTTCAAACAAGTCAAAAGCTGCAACCTGAACCCGACCCATTTGTTAAACGGGTCAAGAGAAACCCGGTCAACCCCAGATTTTCTTGGTCGGGTTATTGGGACATGTCAATAATTGACACCCCTACTATTTATAGATCTATACAAGATATCTTATTAAGGAAACAATTAATTACATAATAATGCATAATTGTACTAAAATAATCCTTCCTAAATAAGCCGCCTAAATATGGAAGGAGATTTGCGTGATCTAGGTGAGCCTCCCATAGATCCCCATGCCGGCCATGGGATCAAGAGAAAAGGGATGGTTGGGATGACCAAGAAGATATTTAATACCCCCCCTCAAGCTGGGGAATACATATCTATCATTCACAGCTTGGTAATTAGTCCAAAAAAGGCAGAGTTATCAAGACCCTTGGCAAAAATGTTTGCAAGCTGATCTTTTGATGAGACATTGGTAAATACAAATAACTCCACTGCCCAATTTCCTATTTAATGAAATTAAAGGGGAGAATTAGAGGGAAATTCAAATTAAGGGGGTTGTTTGGGTAATTTAATATTTTTTACTGCTTTAAGTAAGATTGTAAACCTAGGGTTAGGGATAGCTGGTGCTTTATGAAATTTGGAGAGTTCTTATATTTGTTCGGGCTCTAGCGACGTCTATAGATTTGGGAGAGCCAGATCCTCCTCTCCAATTGATAATCCATTGAATCTTGTTATTTTTCTTTCATCTATTATCAGTAAAATCTTTTGTCGTTAGTATTTCCATCAAATTCTTCTTAATTTCTGGTTTGAACCTTGTTGAAATTCAATTTCAGCCAAGGGAAGTCACTTTCTCTTGGGGTATTTCCTATCAAATTAGTATTAGAGCGATTTCCCAGGCCAAGATAGAAGTCTTCCTCATAGATTTCTGCTGTGTTTCCTCTCCGATCTTGTTGTTTGGAGGTTAGATTCACATCCAAGTTGTTGTTTTTTGCTATTGGAGCCTAAATCTGGGTACCCATGGTAGGAAGAAAGCTATAAGTGTTGGAATGGAAGATTAGACATGTTGACTGTAATCGTTGCACACGACTGGATCCACATCGGACAAAACCGTTCCCGACCGAAATCACCGACATACACGACACAATCGACACCGGTCCCACCTCGCAACGATTCGCCCACCGCCTCACTCACGAAATAAAACAACGCTCCCTCTCATTCGGACGGTTTTTACGCACACATACGCTCTGAAAATCGAAACCGAGGAAGAAGATCGCACGAAATCACCGACATACACGACACAATCGACACCGGTCCCACCTCGCAACGATTCGCCCACCGCCTCACTCACGAAATAAAACAACGCTCCCTCTCATTCGGACGGTTTTTACGCACACATACGCTCTGAAAATCGAAACCGAGGAAGAAGATCGCATGCAAGGAACGAAAGAGGAACTTCGGAACTTACCTCTCGGCTCCGTCGAACTTCGGACTGGACGCCGATCTCCAACCTTCTGCTCCGACGTGCCCTAATCGATCCGGCCTCCTGCTCCCACTGCCGCCGTGCCCTAGCCGACTCTGGTCGACGCCGCCGCCGCCGCCGCCTACCGACCAGCCGCCGCCTCCGTCGCCGACTAAGGAATCCCGAGCCCGTGCGTGATCCCTCCGATCCCGTCTCCTTGCCCGATCGGGCTCTGCCCTTTGCTCTATCCCGATTCTTTCCCTCCCTCTCTCTGTTATATATTATAACATATAATATAATATATAATATATAATATATATTATGTATTATGTTATATATAACATATAATATGATGTTATATTATAATATATATTATAATACATATTATATTAAATATATTATATTATAATATATATTTTATATTGTAATATACATAAAAAAAAAAAGATGAGGGGAAATGAGATAATTTTCAACAGGTGTCGAAGACCCCGGTCGTCGTACCTTAGGTCCGACCGGGATAATTTCAAATTGAAGACCATACGCCGTCGATCTTTGATCCGGGTATGATGGTTTAAAATTCTAGACCATTCA